TTTAATTTCATGTGAGAGTAAGATGCAGTCAGATGTTTGTTTTATTTATACTGAAGACTAACACATTCCATATTACAAATGCCAGAGTGGAAAACTGAAGTCCCCATTCTAGGCTATTGGGAAACCCAAAAAAAAAGTGAAATTAAAGAGTAAGATTTGCCTGCTACTAAACTGCAGAACATTTCTTGTACTGGGGATGAATGATTCAATTCCATTCCAATGCAGAATGATGTGAGAATGAAACTGATAGGAGAGCAAATGGAAACAGCTGTGTTTTACTGCAACACAGACAGTCGGCACATTTTGCTGCTGATTTATAATGAAAATGGAAATTGTAAGTGACAGGCTGAGGGTAGTTTATAAAGCAAACATTTGGAAGCCTTAGAGGTGCTACTGCTTTATGAAAGGCAACCATCTGACCGACCTTTTCCATTCTGTGTGGTTGCTGAATTCCCTTACTGAGATGAAAGTACATTTTTACCTCAAAAAAAAAAAAAGTGCTCTGGGACTAGAGTACAGCAAAGTCTCATAGAACCCAGCAAAGTCTCATAGAACCCAGAGTGCATGTGATGGCTGTCTACATTTTTATCTAAAACCAGTTATTAATCAGAACCTCCCTGGTTTAGAGGCCTTTGGCGCTGCGCCCTCGGACAACAGGGTTTTTATGGTCTACATCACAAGAAGTCTAAAAATAGGCAGTGCAAGCCTGGTGCCGTGGCTCAAAAATCTGGACAGTGATCCAAGATCTTTCTGTCTTTTTCTTCCTCCCGTCTGGATTTCATATTTTCTCTTTTGCTGCTGCACCTCCAAGCATGGTGTCCCAGTCACGATATCTAGATGAAGATGACTGGGAAGAAAGGGTTGAATTTGAGTTGAATCAGCAGTCAAATGGGGCCCAAATGACTATCAGTAAAGGTAACAATATTTTCTGCATTTCAGAGGTAGTTTCCATAATATATGCAAGTAACTTTGCTGCATAAATATGTTTATTTTCTGACAACACACCTATATTTCAGCCTTGGAACAAAGTATTTTCTATTTGCCACGGCCCTCTTATTCCTAAGGACAGAGGCAATTCGGTTCAAAGGTTGGTCAAATACAACCTTGCACTGTAATTGCCAACCATTTTCTCTAACTAATTTCTCTAATTCATTCTTGCAGCTGAATTTGGATGCATTCTTCCAGGTTTCCTTTATATTACTTTATATGATTTGTCTTATACAGACCTGTTTATTGTTTCCCACCATTTCAAAACACATAAGAAGCTTTTCTGACACAAATACGCACGTGTGTGTGCACGCACACACACACACACACACCCCTGCACACAGACACTCTCTAGATCTGGGTGATATTACCTATTTAAATACTAACACAATTTAATTCATCTTATGACACAGTAAGAAAGATGATGTTCTAACATACCATTTATTTTTTCTTTTGGACTTGTGAAAAATATCTATTACTTTGGCCTTAGGTTAATTTAAGCCCAGACCATTGCCAGTGTTTACAATGGGTTTTCCTTTAATGTGTGAAAGCCAATTGGCAAAATAATGTAGTGAGCCAAGTTGGGAGGGAGAGTTTATTCATCTAAAAAAAAATGCTCTGTGTCAGGCTACAGGCTAGACATTGCAAGAAGCTAAGAGTGAGTATGTCAAATTCTCAAGAAGGAAGCTGACAGAAACAGGAATAATTGCAACATAGGGTAACAATAGGCTACCTCAACATTATGAACAAGATCTGATGGAAAAACAGAAGATGTATTGAAAAGATATATTAGGCCGGGCGCGGTGGCTCACGCCTGTAATCCCAGCACTTTGGGAGGCCGAGGCGGGTGGATCACAAGGTCAGGAGATCGAGATCATCCTGGCTAACACGGTGAAACCCTGACTCTACTAAAAAAAAAATAGAAAAATTAGCCGGTCGTGGTGGCGGGCGCCTGTAGTCCCAGCTACTCGGGAGGCTGAATCAGGAGAATGGCATGAACCCAGGAGGCAGAGCTTGCAGTGAGCAGAGATCCGGCCACTGCACTCCAGCCTGGGCCACAGAACCAGACTGCGTGTCTCAAAAAAAAAAAAAAAAAAAGAAAGAAGAAAAGAAAAGATACATTAAGTATGCCTGGGAGAAAAAAAAGATACTTTATAACAGAGTTATATGGGCTAAGGCCCAGGGAGACAGGAAGTGTTTGGATATTTTTTACCCAGGAAAAAATAAGTAAATCAAAATAACAATAAAACAAACAAAGATAATAATATAAAAGATTGGGAATAAATGACAAAAACAATGGGGAAATATATTGAAATTTCTTTTTAATTATTTTCCTGTTGGTGAGGATGAAAAATGGGGGGATCGCATAACCCAACTTTTGAAATTTTGAATGCCATCTTTCAAAGCAATGTGGAAGGCAGCCTCACCCAGAGATGGCTAGCTCTAGGGAATTTCCTTTTACAAAAACTTTTCGCAAGAGGCCTTCCTATTGTGTTGGAAAAGTTACTGACTTTTGGTTTCAAATGCACCTGGTTTACAATCGTTCTTTGACAACCCAGTAGCTCAGTAACATAGGCAAATTTCATAAACTCTGTATTAGTTATCTATTGCTGCATGACAAATACAGAAAAAAAAAATACACAGAAACAACAACAAAAAATTTAATGGATAAAAATACTTATTACCTTTTCTGTCTGTCATAAATTTGAGAGTGGCATAACAAGGAGGTTTTCACTCACGTCCCTCATAAGGCTTCATATAAAATGCAGTCAAGATGGCAGGAGGTCTCAGTCTCTGTTGGCCAGAAGTCTCCATCCTTTGCCATATGTTTCTATCCGTAAGGTTGCTTGAGCGTCCTCATGATATGGCTGTTGGCCTCCCCAAAGTGAGTGATCCTAAAGAGAACAAGGAAGTAGCCACAATTTCTGTTATAACCTGGTCTTGGAAGTGGCATGACATCTCTTCCACCATATTCTGTTTATTACAAGAGAGTAAACTAAGTCCACCTCAAATTAAAGGGAAGGAAAATTAAATTTCAACTGTGGAAGGAAGGAGTATCACTAAATTTGCGGGCATACTTTAAAACCACCACACTCTCTAAGCTTGTTATGTCCTTGTTTGTAAAATGGAAATGGAAATATGCACGTAAAAGAGATGATGTAATTATTCTTCAGTCTGAGAGTCAGCTGTTAAAAAAAAAAAAAGAAAAGAAAACCTCAACTCTTCCCTCCCCTACCCAACCTTTCTTCCCCATCTTACTCCTTTTCTTCCTTCCTCACATTCTCCTTGTTATGGTTGTCACTACTGTCATAATCATCATCATTATTGCATTGTGGCCTTTTTCCAAAGACATATTATGTGACTTAGTAAATTTGGAAATGGAAGGTGGGAGAACTTTCTCTGATTCATGCTGACCATAGATGATTTACTGAATACTTTTATGGTCAAAGCAGTCTTTCAAGTGCCATAAATAAATATCTATTCATATCATCCTCACAATATATGACTAGGCAACCTCACTCTTTTTGTTTAAGATAAAGTAACATAATGGAACTATTTCATGACTGGCTTCAAATGATCCTCTGTGAAATGATGAAAGCAGAGTTTAAACTGAGACCATCCAATGTCAAAGCCATGGTCTTGTCCATGATGCTATGCTTCCATAGGTTCCTCAATCTATATGCATTTTGGAAAATTGTAGAAACCAAATGGGAGAAACATGATATAGAAAAACATAACTTCAGAGCATTTTATGAACTTTTTAAAAAATTTATAAACAAGAAGAGATGATAGAGCTAAAATAAACAAACAAAAAATTTAAATGGGAAAACCACAGTTATCAGGGCTTGCACATAGTCTTTATTGATTTGAAGATACATTGTTCTGCAAAGGAAGCTTTTATAAAACTTTTATTCTCATGTAATTTTAACATAGCCCCTTGTAGCTAGAAATCTAATTCTATAAAAGTGGTTACTGAAAGAAAATAATATTCAAACTTTAGTTTTCAACCTACTGTCTACAATAGCTGCTGTACGCATGAAACAAAAAAATTGGCCATTTATATTACTTTATCTCTGACTCTTTAGAATGGAATTATTTCATCAATACCTTTTTGCTAAGGAATATAGACATCCCTACATTTTGGAATTTTTATTGCAAGTATGTACAGTTTTACTTGTAAAGTGAATTTTTACCTCCACAATATTTGAGTAAATTATGAGGATTCAAAGCAAAAGGGTGAAACTGTCAACGAGAGGAGAAAGATTTCAAATAACTTTATTATGTCTCACAAATCTAGGGAGATAGTGTTATATCATAAATTTAATATTATTTTTAGGGAGGTAGAGGAACTAATTTTCAGTGAAAGGACTGTTCCTAACTAGTTGTGAGAGTTTGGAAGACTCATTTAAACTTGATGGACCACCACCAGCTCCACTTTAGAGCAAATGAACTGTAACTTTCCAATAGCATTATTCACTGTAAAAAAGACTTTCTGTGGATTATTGGATTTACAACATGAATAATTAGTGATTTTAGCAAATAAGGTGTACTAATAAGTGAAAAGGACAGTATCAGCACTGTACATCATTTAGCAGGTTGTATCTTGTAGCTGTGCAATGTGTTTGTGTGTGTGTGTGTTTCAGCTTTGTTAGGTTCTCCAGGTAATTTCGTAGATCCAATCTTATGTCTTTTCACATGTGACATAAGGACACACATCTTTTCACAGTTTTTTTTTAGTTTGTCTATTTTTTTGCATAAATGTTAAGAAATTAACACCCCCATTGTATTTCTTATTGAACTAGTCTACTAATATTACACCCATAGTGAATAGATTAGGTTGATGAGAGCAACTGTAGCAAACCAGTATCTATTTCTTTCTCATTTTAAATTTACTGATTCAGTCAACTGCACTGTATGATTTAGAAAGGAAAAATACCTTATGATAGATCTGAGAATGCTTAACAACCATCACTGCAATTCTGAAAATGCTTTTACTGTCTGTTTCATTCCAGCTTCTGCCAAAAATACCTATGGATCATGTTTAATACACTGTGGTATGTGCTTAAACCTTGACACAATGGGGAAAACACTGCAACTTAATATTGAATGAGGTAGTATTGGATTCTTTGTGTCTATTGCAATATACTTTTCTACCAATGCATGTCTCGTAAGTTTTATTTCATTTCATTGGCATTTAACAAAAACGAGTTTTGATTTCTTACCCCTTTCAGGTACACCTGCATTTTTATCTCTCTGTTCTTCTTGCAGATGTTGCAAAATATTCACTCAAAAGAATTGAGACTTTCTTAGGAAGCAATGGGAAATTTTAAAAAGGGTAATAACAGCTGAGATTAGATGTATCCTCACACACCACAAAACACAATTGTTTGCTTTATTAACAAGCCCTACTTCTCAACATATTTAGGTGTTACATTTTCTATAGAAAAAGAAAGTTTGGAGTTTAAAAGCTTCACTGTTTTATGCAAATTATGGTATTAAGAAGGTGATATTTTTGATGTAGGGTTATTTCCTTGACCTCTTCACAGGACTCGTGACAGGAGTGCCCTGTTTACTCAGCCCACTCTGCTCAACCCCTCGGGGGAGGGAGCACACCAGTGAGGGAGGGAGAGGGAGCGATCAAGTGCAAGAAACGGCAGGTAGCCTGGCAGGAGCAAACTCACGTTGACTCAGATCTGCAGGGCTCCACCCCATGCAGGAGGGACCATGCATGAACTGGCCAGCTACTTCAGCACTGGCAGGAGCAAACTCCATGCAGGACCCTCCCGCGGCATCCAGTTGTGGTGCCTGTGACCTCAAGGCCCAACAGGGCATGTTATAATACTCTATTAGCTCCACCATCCACAGATAGGAGTGTGTTATCAGCTTAGTGGGCCCCTTGCCTCATCACAGGGGGTGGTTGACCTCTCCCAGCAGGCAAAGGGCCAATGTGACAGCCTTTTAGGATACCTGCACTTGGTGCCTCCTGAATTCTTGTCCAGTGCCCAAGAGGAATGAGGTCACATGGATGAATTGAAGGATAGCGAATGTGGAGAGTTTTACTGCTTGATGGAAGAGGCTGTCAGTGGAGAGGGGAGCTGGAAAGAGGACAGGAAGTGCAGGTCGCTCTCCCTGGAAGTCAAGCTGCCTCTCTCTCTCTCTCTCCTGAAGTCAAGTTTTTTCATCCAGCTGCTGTCTATGAAGTCAAATTCGCCCCTTCTCGACATCCGGCCCTTCTTCCCAACCTTCAGCAGCTCCTCCTCTCTGCCAGCTATGTCTGGGGTCTTTAGAGGTTCAGGTTAGGGGCGTGATAGGCCAAAGGTAGTTTTGGAAAAGGCAACATTGGATTGGCAAGAAGACATTATTTAGAAAGAACCTATCAGGAGAGGGCAGGCACACGGGGATAGAAGTTCTCAGTTTCGGCCGCGGGTTTCAGGCTTTTTGGCTTGAAGGTAGGGCTTCACCAGGAACCTGCTTCTGTCTGCCTAGAGTCTCTCTACCTCCTGTCTCTATTGTTATTATGATACACATATGATAGTTACTACTAATTTAGATTATCATTAGATCTACCTGAATGTCCTAGTAGAATATCTCCTTGTCCATTCATGTGTTTGTTTACTTACCAGCTCTTAAGTGGATACTATATGCTAGGCACTACACAGGATCCTGGATATAGATAATAAGCAATAAAGAAAAATATTATTCTTATTCTCCTTGGTCTTACTCTCTTATAATTTAAACAAATACTATCTAATAATTGCAGAAATATATATGTACAGGTTGTAAAAATTCTGTGAAGGAAAAGTAATCAGTTTCATAGGAGTATTTAATGATGGAGCCTGAACATGGCATCACAAAGTTTACCAAAGGAAAATAAAGAATAGCAAAGAAAGAAATGGATGTTAGACAGAGGAATAGGAGGAATACATTCTATGTACAAACATCCTGTAGACTTGTATTTTCAAAAGCCCTCTGGAAGGGTCTAGGCAGGTTTGAGAGAAAGAGATAACTAACATGGTGTTTAAGACTTAAGGAAAAGACTACCTAAGATGCAATTTAAGAAGATAGTAGGAAGCAAATCATGTAGGAATTCATAGACCATAGTAAGGATCTTGTGCTTATCCTATAAGGAAGGAAGAATATTGAGAAGTTTTAAACAGAGAGTCTGTACTGATTTATACGTGTATGTGTTTGTATGAGTCCATAATATTTGCCTTTTGCAAAGGACATTTCTGTTTCAGGAGCAAGAATGTATTTTTTCCTTATAACTTCATGAATAATGATTATTTCTGTTTCTGTTTACATTTTGAAACCAGTATAATTGCTTTTATATTGGAAAAATTATTGAAAGTGAGATATCATACTGTTTTAAAAATATGAAAATATAATGATATGAATCTATGTATAATAACCTTCAAAAAAAAAAGCACCAGGTTCAGATAATTTCATAGGTAAATTTTACCAAACATTTAAAAAATATAATACCAATTTTCTACAATATTTTCTAGAGCATAGAAGCAGAGGAAATCCTTTCTAAATCATTAAAGTTAGCATTTCCCTAATACCAAAAAAAAGGCAAAACATTAAAAGAAATGAAAAGTATAGACCAATATCTCTCATGAAGATAGAGGGAAACATCTTCAAAATATTCATAAATTGAATCCAACAAGGTTTAAAAATCATTATACTGTGTGACCAGGTGGGATTTATTCTAGATATGCAAGTCTTCATTATTTAAAAAATAATGTAATCTATCACACCAACAGACTCAAGAAGAAAAATCATTTATATGTATATGCAGAAGAAAACATTTAACAAGGTTCAACACATGTTTATGACAAAAATGCTCAGTAAAATAGGAATAAGGGGGAACTTCCTCAAATTTATAAAAAAAATCTACAAAAAAGCCCATGCTACCATAATACTTAATGGTGAGAAAATAGATGAAATTCCCCCAAGATTGGGAGCAAGGTAGAATTGATCCTTCTCACCACTCCTAGTCAACATTGTACTAGAAATCCTAGTTAAAACAATAAAATAAGGAAAGGAAAGGAAAGAAAAGGTGTACATACAGAAAAGAAGAAATAAAACTGTCTTGTTTTGTCTATATAAAATATTCAAAGGAATATATATTTTCATATATGTTTATGTATGATAAATAATGTGTTTATATATGTGAATATACATTTATATATATTCAAAGAATATATATTCATATGTTCATATGTTTATATATGTTCATATGTGTTTATATGTTTATATATGAATAAACATGTTGTATATGTATGTGTATATACACATAAATACACATATGTGTATATACACATACACACACACAGCCATGTGTCACATAATGACATTTAGGTCAACGATGGTCTGCCTATATGACAGTGGTCCCATAAGTTTATAATGAAGCTGCCCTAAATAGATGTTCCATTTTTTTATCTTTTATGCCATGTTTTCATTGTACCTTCTCTATGTTTAGTCATGTTTAGGTACACAAACACTTACCAGTGTATTATAATTGCCTACATTATTCAGCATAGTAACAAGCTGTACAGGTTTGTAGCCTAGAAGGCCATAATAAGGCAGGAAATCAAAGAAAAATAAAATTAAAAAGAAAGAGAAATAAATTTTCCTGTATTAGGCTGACTTGTCCCAGAGGCAGCAACAGGCACAGCCCAGGCCCAGGAAAAGTCTTGATAATATTATCTAATGTGCTCTGGAGACTCCCCCAGCACTCCCTCAACATAGGGAGAAGAAAAACAAATTTTCCTTTGTTTTATGGAATGAGTTTATAGATTCTCGTTCTCTGTAACTAGTGGCTTCAAATATTATGTTTTATCTAAGAAAGATAACGAAGGTCATGAGAAGCCTGAGTGGGGACCTGAACTACAGCTGCATGGGCACCATAGTGAAAGTTGTAGGATAAACCCGTGCCCAAATCTAGATAACGAACATCTGGGTTGCTTGGCAACAGTCATGTGCAATCCTGCCTTTGTCCGGCCTCTGCATCCCTGCTTTCATGTCACTGTAAGCTTGCTTCAAGCTAGCCCACCCACTTTTGTGAAGTGTGCATAAAAGTCAGATGCTGTCTTTATTCTGGGCCCAGTTTTATGGACATTTAAGTCAGCTGGGCCTAAGTGCACTCAATAAAGATTCTCTTGCTTCAACCCGAGGTATCTCTCATCCTCCTGAATCCTGCTACATTTCTATATAGCCTAGGTGTGTAGTATATACTATGATGTTCACATAACAAACAAAATCACCTAACAACATGTTTCTCCGAATGTATCTACATCTTTAGATAACTCTTGAGTATATGACTATATATATGTATACACACACACATATGTACTCCTAAAATTAATAAGCAATAATTGCAAGATTGCAAGATATATGGTTTAATATACAAAAGTCAATTACTTTCCTATATGACAGCAACGGGCAATTGAAATTTGAAATTAAAGGAAAAATACATTCTGTTTACCTTAACACTCTCAAAAACGAAATACTTAAAAATATAACAAAATATGTATAAGATCTATATGAGAAAAACTATAACTCTGATGAAAGGAATCAAATAACTAATTCAATTAAGAGATAGTTCATATTTATGGATAAGAAGACAATATTCTTAAAATATCAGTTTTTCTCAACTTGATCTATACATTCATATTGCTTAAATAAAAAAATGCGGCAAATTACTTTGTAGGTATCAACAAATGGATTTTAAAATTTATGTGAAAAAGCAGAAGATCCAGGATAGTCAACACAATATTGAAAAATCAGAACAAGGTCACAAGACTGATACTATTCAATTTCAAGAGTTACGTAAAGCTACAGTAAAAATTCCAGTGTGATATCGGTGTAACAATGGGCAAATAAATCAATAGAACAAAATAGCCTAGAAGTAGCCCACACAAATATAATCAATTGATCTTTGAAAAAGGAGCAAAAGCAGTACAATACAGCAAAGATGTTCTTCTCAACAAATGGTGCTGGAACAAATGAACGTTCACAGGCAAAGGAAGTGAATCTATACCTGACCTTACACATTTTACAAAAATTTACTCAAGATAGAACACAGATCTAAGTGCCAAACACAAAAAGATAAAACTTCTAGAAGATAACATAGGAGAAAATCGGACTGAACTTTG